CTGGTCGTATCTCGAAAAATTCGTAAGGAGGGGCGTTCGTAACTAGAGGTACCACTGTACTTTCCTAACTGTTCAAAAACATGCTGTATTATATGGGAAGATTCTGCTGGTTTTCTGTTTGTGGGAGGTCAATATGTAAATTGCTATATATTTGCACACAAGTATATATACAAGATCTCTCACAATATATTTTTCCTATGAGTCCTGCTGAAAGCCAAGTAAGTGTCAAAATATATAACACACTTGTATTAAAACAGGTATCTTCTCAACATAAATATAAAGGTAGTTTGGTACCATTGGAACATCACATTCAAGCCATAGAGTTTAAGCCATTTTGAAAATAGTTTCCACCTAATAGGTGAAAGAAAAGTGATGTATATAAATGTAAAAAACATAAGCATTGACAAAAAGATATTGTACATTAAACTTTTTCACTTTCCATACTGAACTTTTAAAGAAAAATCAAATGCTTAGGAAATAAAGGAATGCTCCGTGAAAGACCTGAGCATAATGTGAACTTAGTTATAACATGTTTGTACCATATCTTTAAAAACTACTCTCCAATTGTTTATGCCTGTCTGGTACATTTGGACAGAGTCACTGCGCTTCAGGTCCCCTCAAATGTTGTGGTTTTGTGGGACTGACAAAATGTGTCTTCTCTGTCCCTGCCCCTTGGAACAGCATTCCCCCCAAAGATACGTCTGTTGTCCACTGTCCTGGGATTCCAGAAAGCCCTTAAGGCTTAGCTCTGTTACCAGGTCTGTGGGTAGCATGTCTTGGGTGCCCCTGCCATGCTTTTATTGTTATTGTTGTTTTTAGTCTGTGCTTCCATGTCTTGTTTCATGCTTTTAACCTTCAGTTGTGTATTTGGATAGTATAAGCTGCCCAAAATCTTTTTAGAGTGGGCAGCCATGATAAAGATGATGATGATAATACCTGAAATTTACTTAGCCATTTTTCTCTTTCAGAAATACCCCCAAAGGAACATTAAGCTATGATATAAACAAAGAACAGAACAATACAATATTAAGGTAATGTTTCTCTTATAACACTTTTTAAAAGCGAAACAGTTTAATAAAAGAAAAATAAACCGCATCTATTTTCATAATAGGTAAAGTCCATTACATTTACATTGATTGTCAGAATTGTTAGTTTTCCAGGAAGTTAAAGTAACTTTGCAGGAACCCCAGGGTGGGAAATTGTTGGGCTATCTCAGACCTCATATCTTTCCCACAAATCTCAAACCTAGCTTCATGATGACAGATCCCAGCAATACCTTCGAAACAGGTAAGTATTTCTATACTCCTAAACTATTTACCTAACACCAGGTGTGGTTAGGCCACATAATTTTTGTTAAGTTATAATGAACAGATTGTCTTGCTAATGTGCATATAAAATGTGCTTCATTTTTTGTACCTGAAAAGAAGAGTTTAATCCCTTTAAGTGCAAGTACGTGTGACTTCTTCAGGAATTCTTTAAAAGAACATTAAAGCTGCTGTAACTCTAGTTAAAACCATAGTTTAATTTTATTAAACACTGCATTCTGCTTTCCATTTACAGAGTGTTAATGAAGTCTACATCTCCAGCATTTCACCAACCACTGAAATACAAAGAAAGAGGTGTTCTGCATTCCAAACGAAGCACAGACGACAGGGCAGACCAGGCATCTGTGAAATCTACAGATAGCATCAGCTATCCCAGCCCCTGTGCTAGTCCTTCTCCTCCATCATCTGGGAAGGTATAGTACTTTGAAATCCTAGTAAAAGAATAATGCAAATTGAAGAACATCTGCTGAAATTAAAAACCAAACTAAAATAAGTCTACAGTGGTGCTTAAAAGTTTGTGAACCCTTTTGAATTTTCAATATTTCTGCATAAATA